CGACCATGAAAACATACTCGTTCCTCGAATATACTGTTACTCATAGTTACCCTGAACCGTCTCACTCATCCTCTTCGCTCGGCTGTGAGTGGAGCATAAGGCTTTACAGCAACAACTTCCATCTATCTACCTCATTCCAGCTCGTTCTCCACGTGATCTTCGGTCTGCCGCGCCTTCTCTTGCCTTTGGGGGGTCCAGGTGAGAGCAACTCGGCAGTTGTTGTTTTTCTCTCTCCCCGAGACGTGACTGATCCATCTCAATCGCCTGAACTTCACAGTTTGCGAGATGGGACTGTCTCTAGTTCTTTCATAGAGTTCACGGTTGGTGATGGTGCGTGGCCAAAGTATGCCAAGGATTCTCCTCAGACATTTTCAGTGGAAAGCATCCAGGCGCTCAATGTCTGCTGATGTTATCTTGCATATCTCAGTGTCTTACAGGAGAACAGAGGTCACAAAGCTCTTGAGGATTCTCAGCTTGGTGTGCTTGCTGTACATCTTTGACCTCCAGACAGGATTTAGAGTGAAATATATATGCCCTTCTTGCGATTGCAAGCCTGCGTGTGATGTCTTTGTGTGACCCACCTGCTTCATAGACTGTGGCTCCAAGGTAGATGGAAGAGTTGAGGTCTTCAACTTCTAGTTCATCGACGGAAATCGCTTAAGCGACCCTGGGATTCGTTCGAAGCACATTTGTCTTGGTGTTGTTGATGCAGAGTTTCTTTAGACCTGATAGAGGTGGATGCACTTCTCTTGGAGATCTTTGTGTCAGCTTGAGAGAAGGGTCATCTACATCGTCAAGATCCTTTAGGACCGTGGTGAACGTCCATCTCAGACCTCTCCTTGCACTGGCGGTGTTCCTCATTGTCCAGTCGATGATGATATTGAAAACCAGACATAACGCAACCTTGCTTGACTCCTGTCTTTACAGGAAACCAGTCTGATTTTCGTCCGTTTTTAACAACGCAGAACTGTTTTCAGTCTAGCTTAAAGGCCGAAGCTTAGTGACATATTGAAACGTCTTTTCTGGCCACATGTCCAAGTCAAACGGAGGTCACTTGGCAAACGGGAAAGCGGTTGAAAGTGTCTTGTGTAACCTCGGAGTCACTCCCACGGGAAAGGCGACAGACAAGCAGTGAAGATCTAATGTGTCCATGGACTGTCACTAATTATGCGGGCAACATTGCGAGCTGACTTCGCATTAAAGAGAACTTCATACCTACACATACTACTGTCTAAGTCCAGTGATAGCATCTGTTTTTCCGATGTCCGCAAATTCTCAGTCACAATCTAATTCCTTTCCACTCAGAGCTTCAATGACACAATTCAGTAGCCTTTGACTTTTGGCCGTGTCGGAGTGATCCCCTAAAATTTTCTTCCTCCATCGTGTGGCCTCCTGCAAAGATTTCAAAGCTCCGTTCAGGTCTTCCAAGCTATACTGCACTTTTCCAAGCCAGTAATAGCACCGTGCCCTTACTTCAATACTTCCAAACGGAATCTTTGTCGCTTTCTGGAATGCCTCCATAGCTGACACTTTGTCTCCCATCTTGAACGAAATACGTCCTAAGTTATAAAAATCCAATGGTTTACCTGACAACTCCAGCCTCATGGACATAGCTTGCTGACAAAATGCACGAGCTTCTGGGGAGCTTTTCATTGCAAGATAGGTTAAAGCTAAATTGTAACAACTGTTGGCAGTCTGTTCATGTTTACCCAGCATTTTCTTCGTTACGTCCAATGCATTGTGAAATGTCTCTCTTGCAGACTGGTGTTCGCCCATTTTGTAATATACAACTCCTAAGCCATTCAAGCTTTCTGCTGTCTTAGGGTGCTCTCCTAGATGTTTTCGTCTAAGTTTCAAAGCCTGCAGGTGTGCCTCCGATGCTTTCTCGTAGTTACCAAGGGTGAGATAATTTTCACCGAGGGTGTGGTAAATGTCCGCAGTGTCCTCGTGATCATAAACACCCATTTTTTGACTAAGCTCCAAAGCACTTCGAAATGATTTGGTAGCCTCGATTTCATTGTTCATCTTAAAATACACACAACCAATGTTTGTCAAGCTTAAAACTGTGTCGACGTGGTCTCCACGATTTTCTCCTCTCAATCTTATGGCCTGCTGATGCGAATCTATTGCCCCGCTGTAATCCTCTATTCGACGTTGAATAACACCAATCTTGTCATGACATCTTGCAAGGTCTTCCCAATCCACACCAGGGCCGCGATCATGAAGTTCCCCTCTCTCACTTTCTAAATAACCTCTCAAACTTTCAATCCGGGATTTAAAGACTGCTGCGTCAAGAAACACAAGCCAACAAGGATCATGAAGTTGAGCCATTGTTTCTGTCACAACCAAAAGCCAATCAATGAGCAGCGGTAATGGTTTGAAGCTTTCCATGCTGTCTAAGCTATCATCAGACAGTGTTGGCAATAGCTGAAACAAACACTCGAACAGTGGAATAAAATCAAATAGCTTTTTGAGAAGTTGTAAAATCTCCGGTTCTACTCTTGAGTCAGCTTCAACGGCGGACAGCATTGTTCGAATCACTTTTATCATTTCCTTTGAGAATGAACTAACGACACTAACATCGACCGATTCAGCACTATGCAACTTTGGCAAGGTTGCCATGAATCTACTAATGACATTACAATCAGCGTCCGGGAGTGATGGATTTCTACATAAGTACAGCAGTAACTTGGCCATTAGCCCATAGAAGGCACCATCATCTTCCATACGCCTCCAATAGTCCTTGATGTCATCTGAAAGTAAACCGTCCTCAGAAACCTGCCACAAAACAAAGCTTGATGTAGCCTTGGCCTCACAGTTGAAGAGGTTCAGAAAATGAGACGCCATTTCACGTTCCTCTTTGCCGTGGTAAGTCTCTGCAAGAACTTTATAACATAGTATTCGCAGAACCTTTTCGTTACAACAGCTCCCTAGACGATCTATAGAACTTCTAAGGGACGATAACCCTTCGTCAACCTTGCCACAGAGAAGCTGATAGATGCCATGATAACACAACATCTTTGTAGGAAAATCAGCGGTGCTGGAGCAACCAGCGGACTGCAGTGAATGTTCCCAGGTTTGATGGTCTGTGGTGAACCAGGCCCAGTGACGAAAGGATTTGGAAGCCAGCAACATACGCTCATCAACCAAGAGTTGCCTTTTCTTTGCTTCTTTTATCACTGTGTCGTAAATCTTCTCAAACAACGATTCTTCATCAGACAACACAAAGTGGAGTAAAAGCTCTGCTTTGGACAATACCTCTACCACCTTTGGGTACAGCCCTTCGGCCCTTGTTCCATTAACAAGAGACGAAATGATTCTCTCGCGCTGTCCAAACAAAACTCTCAGCGCTTCATTAGAATGACCAGTTAAAAATTTCTCATTAGCTACTCTAAAAATAGAGATATCATAGTCGTAAAAGCGATGTTCAGCGACTTTAAATGCGACCTCAATTTCTTCGTCTTCCATTCTCTTCTCGTCAATGAAGGAAAGCAAAAGCGAATGAATTGTGTAACTGACAGATTCAAAATCGATGCTAGTCATCAAGGATTTTCGTTCCAGCGATTGCAACACTTTTTTGGTTCGAAAGGCTGTTTTCAAATTCAAAATGGCTGTAGCTTCATCCACTCCAAAACTTCCAGGAAAAACAGCTAGTGACACGAAAGCATCTTTCTCATCAGCAGTGAGTCTTTGAAAAGACGTGTTAATTATTGTCTTCAGTCGAACATCATCGGGAAAACTTTCATTGTCTAATACGTCAACAAGAGGTGTTATCTTTATTTCTTCTAAAAGCTCATTAAGGGAAACGTTTCCTCCAATCATGGTGTTACACATCAATCGAATGGCCAGAGGAACTTGTCCGCACACTCTTACAATGCTCTTGCAGTCATCGTCTGAGAGATCTGGCAGTAGTAACCTTACTAATCTGCCCGATGCAAATTTATTCAGTACACCAACTGTCACTAGATATATGGGTAGCTTATGATTCAAGTAATCTAGAGAGCCACGAGTGGTGAAGAGAAGCTTGATGTGATTGCATCGAGTAACCATTTCCTCCACAAACCTAAGGACCTCATCTTTGACTTTGGCATCTCCGGATTCCAGTAAATCGTCAGCATTATCCAGGATCAGGACAAAGCGATTCTGCAGCTGCTGTAAACATTGGATGAGCCAATCAGAAGCCGAGATTTGAGGATGAGGCACCTGTTCAGTGACTGTAAATATACTGAGCAGCTTTGATACAAAGTCATCTTTTCGCTTCATTCCGCGAAGGGATATAAAGTACACTGGAATCTTCATCGCTCGTAACTTATGCGCCACGTCAATGGCCACTGACGTCTTTCCAAATCCCGGTGGGCCCCAGATACCAACTAGTCGAGTTGATTCATTCGTTACATGACGTACGATGTTTAAAGACTGTAGTTGGCGGCCCACAAAGTGTGGAATTTTTTGTGGTATGCACGAGTCAGGAGCTAATGGCCCTAAAATAAAAACAAACAGGTACCGTTATGATTCCATTATACTTAAGCGCCCTCTTCCCTATAAGCCACACGTCCAGGATGACATGCTAATGCGGAGATGCATGCTCTTTATGATAAGCATCACAAATGTCATTTTCAAAATATATAGATTTAGCCCAGCCTAAAAGCGAGCTCCTGGGCCGGGTTATTCCAAG